GGGTTTCCCAAGAGAGCAATCTCTAAGGTTTGCCAAAATTGGTCCAGAAAGCTCTACAAGCTTCTATGCCTATGGCTTGACCTTTACTTTTTTCCCCTGAAAATAAACCAAAAAGCCAATGCATAAATGCAGACAGCTGTCTTCTGGCAGACAGTACTCCATTGCACACAACCACACCCTGACAGAGAGACACACACCAGCCCAATCCATTCCTGAGCTCTGGCTGATTTGGTTGCTATAGATTTCCCAGAGGTTCCACTGAGCTCACCCTCTGACTTTGGAGTGGTCAGGAGCCATATGCTGGGGCACTCAAAGTCTCCTGCAGGAAGTACCAGCACCCACTGATGCTCTCTTCCTTGACCTCCCTGTGCAGGGACAGGACCAGAAAGGAAAGTTACCTTGCAGACGGCTGCCTGGAGTACTGCATCAAAGCCCCCCTCAGGGGCATCTCGGTTCCGGGACACCCTCTGTTTCCGAACTTCCTCATTGAAGCTGTCCACTCTGTCTGTGAGAGGCAGCAGATGGCGGAACCCAAAGGAGGGGACGCAATTTGGAAACAACTTGTAACTAGAGAGAAGGAAGAGAAGAGTCATTTTTCCGTCATTGTCTGTAAATCTTTACCAAGTGTTCTGAGCATTCACTGAGTGCCTTGAGAGGCACCAATAACTATTTACCCAGAACCTACTACATGCCCCTAGGACAGGCACAGTGGAGAGAGCAAAGATTAATAACATAGTCCCTACTCTCTAAACATCAGCGCTAAACTGCAGGCAAGGCTGTATATGCCGAGTTGTAAATGAATGGTATGGACAAATGGTTAAAAGGAAACAGAGATAACAGTAGGCTACCGTGGTTGGAGGAAGACTTGACATGGGCATTGAAAGGTATATGGGACCCACCAGCCTAGGCAGAGTGGACAGGAAGTGTCCTCTGGGCTAAGGAATGTGGATGATGCCCAGTGAGGGCAATGTAAGTGAAGTTACTCCATGCAACCAGCTTCTACATCAATGCTGCTGCCACACAACAAAGGATCACAGGATCATATAACCTTGCCATGTCAACCCACTCAGTGACCAGGATGTGCAGGCACATGGACAAATGCTCAATGGAACAGGAATAAAAACATCTTATCTGCTTCTTCATTCGTTTCTAAATATTGTACCAACAAACTATCAATTCTGCTAAATGCAATAAAAAATTATTTAGAAACTAAGCATCTTCAAATGGAAAGTGATGTCTGGAAATTGGGAAAGAAGGAAGCATTACACATCAATAGTAGGTTAATACCAAGCCTTTCTCTTGAAATATTGGGTGATCTCCTTTTCAGTCTCCTGTGGAGACTCCAGGTGACCCCATTCCTGAAGAAGTTACTTTCTATTACAGCTCTAAGAGTTTCAGCTTGATCTAGAGCTAATAAAGTTAGAAGAGAGAGCTTGCATTGTTTTACCAATGGGTTCACAAAGTAAAGGAAAGAGGGGAGAGTGTTCCAGCCAGAGAAGAGCATGTGCAAGAGTCCTGTGACAGGAGGGAGCACAGAGCCCAGGGGCAGAGGGAGGCCAGGGGGGCTGTAGTGCAGAGTGAGGGATGAGGGTGGACGAGGAGGAGCCTGGGAGGCAGGCTGGGCCAGAATATGCAGGGTCTCTGGCCGTGTTAAGGAAGTCCCTCTTTCAGGATAAATGATGGGAAACGAGCACTAACAGGCCTGAGGGAAAGGCTTTATAATCTAATTCAAGCTGCATACATGGGAAAGAAAACAGCCTTAGCAACAGCTAGGAGGACCCTGCCTTAACTGCTGTCAAAATCAGCTTCACCAGGGCAGGTCTGGGCAGGCTCCCTTCTGTAAAGGGGCAATCATTGGCTCTCTAAGGGGCCATTCCATTCCCTTTCAGGGCTACAGTCCCTGCACCATCCACACAGTCACAAGAGCACAGCACAGAGTCCCCAGCAACAGGCCCACCCTGCACAGAATCAATCAGCCCCACTCCTGTGACAGTCACGCTCTCCCTCTCGGGCCAGCGGCAGCAATGGGCTCTCCTTGCCTGGCTTTCCTTTGTGTTTCTCCCTTCTCCTTTCCCGAAATCTTCACGAACACCTTGTACTTGGACAGGTGGAGCTCTTTTTTAACCTCAGCCTCAGGCCACCCAAACTTTCCATTACCTCCTCGTTTTGTCATGAAAAGAACAATCATGGAAATTACATTCCCAGCTGGAAGAAGGAACTGAGGTCCCATCTGTAGCTATTTGGCAAGTGGATCATAGGCCCAGAAGGAAGTAAGTCTATCCAAACTCTCCCCGCTCTCTTCCTCCAACATCCTGCCCTCACTTATGTGGCTCTGGCCCATGATTTAGGACTTCAGGTGTATGTTTTTTTACACTTGGTCCAGTTGGCGGTGGGCAGGGAGGAAAGAAACTGAATAATAATTGTTGTTTAACCAGGAAAGCTGTGAGAAACTCAGCTACAGCTCAGCACATTTTACCTCCTCCCTTTCACTCCCGCAAACAGCAAACAGCAAACAGCAATGAGCAGATACATTTTTACTTCAAAGAATGTCTGTTAAGTAGTTAGGAATTAGAAAATGTGTTTGCCAGACAGAAGCCTTCATTGCAGAGAATTTAGTATAACCAAGTCAGAGTCACTTCATACCAAGAGGAAAAGAGCTTTGTCACACAGACACTAGGAGTGTCTCCATTGACACTGGAATCGGATGTCACTTGTGATGAGTTACCTGACTTAACCCCAGAACAGCTGTCTGAGTGGCCTGAAGATCCAGATGTTTTGGGGTCATACCAGGAGACTATACCACCCCTCTCGTCTGTCTGTGCTGTGAGACCCCAAATAAGCACCATGCACACAGTTACTAAATTAAGGATTATTAACAAGGGAGATAAAAAATAAAATATATAGTTAAAAAGCCAAGGGAGTGTCTGTATGTATAAAGAGCGAATCCAATTTGAAGACACCAGACCTAGGCAAATCCAGAAAACAATTTAATGCCTCAGGAGAATATCATGGATCAAGCTGACATGGAAAGGCTCTCATGTCATGGAACAGGAATGAAAACACCTTATCTGCTTCTTCTAATGCTAACCATGTAGAACTGCTGGATAAAATGTAATTAAAAAATTTTTAATATATAGCCTAGACTGGAAGCTCAGAAAGTAAATCCCAGAAATGAAGAGGAAACCATTCAATAAATGAATGAAACTTTCAGAAGTATTTGGTTTTGGAAAAAATAAAATAAAATAAAATAAAATAAAATAAAATAAAACAAAATAAAATTTAAAAATACAAAAAAAAACCCAACCAAAAACCAAATGAATGGACTTAAAAGAATAGGTGGGGGCCAGGTGCAATGGCTCACGCCTGTCATCTCAGCACTTTGGGAGGCTGAGGCGATCACTTGAGGTCAGGAGTTCAAGACCAGCCTGGCCAACACAGTGAAACCCCATCTCTACTAAAAATACAAAAATTAGCTGGGCATGGTGGCAGGCGCCTATAATCCCAGCTACTCAGGAGTATGAGGCAGAAGAATTACTTGAACCCAGGAGGTAGAGGTTGCAGTGAGCTGAGATCGTGCCACTGCACTCTAGCCTGAGCAGCAGAGCGAGACTCCGTCTCAAAAAAAAAAAAAAAAAAAGGGTAGGAAATGGGCAGGCACTCATGCCAAGGACCCCTGCAATGCGTCAGGCCTTGACTGAGGCCCTGCGGGCTTGGAGCAGGGTCTACCAGGAAGAGATGCTAAGCCTCAGTCCTGCACAGGGCTGAACACTGGAATAGGGCTCTCTGCATAAAGCCCAACACTACAATGAGCTGCTGTGCCACTAAAACCAGAAACAGAAAAACTCCAGCTACTGGTCCGGGAAAGCGGCACGGAAGCTGACCGTCTGTCACGAATGAGATGAATTACCCATAAAAACTGTAATTCCAGGCCTGAGCAACTGGAATACACTGCCTTTATGGTGAAGACATCTCCAGTTGAAAAGTTAACAGAAAAACTAGTCCCACGGTGAACCTAGAGATTCTCGACAGCAGCAAACATAAAACTGCTCTGCAGGGATGCCCCCACAACCTCCAGTGAAGATGTACTAATGAAAGCTTACAAATTGCATGAAAAACAATTCATGAAGGCATGTCAGCAGGTCCAATACACTGTGGATCCACCTGAAGGATCCACAATTCAAGAAACAGAAACAGAATAATTTAAAATACTTTAGGTGGGGCGCGGTGGCTCACCCCTGTAATCCCAGCACTTTGGGAGGCCGAGGCAGGTAGATCGCCTGAGGTCAGGAGTTCAAGACCAGCCTGGCCAACATGGTGAAACCCCATCTCTACTAAAAAATACAAAAATTAGCTGGGTATGGTGGCATGTGCCTGTAATCTCAGCTGCTCGGGAGGCTGAGGCAGGAGAATCATTTGAACCCAGGAGACACAGGATGCCGTGCTGCCTGGACTTGGGGAGACAAAGCTCAGCCTGCTCACCAAGCCACAGTGTGCCCCTGCACTGCGTGTGCCCCCCAGCTCAGAGAAGAGAGCTTCACATAACTCAGGCCCGAGGTTTCCTTCCACGCTCTCGTTCTTCACTGGACTTCCTGTCTTACAAGCAGCTTTTCAGTGTGCCTTGTACTCACTGTCAAGAGTTTTACTGTCTGCAACGGGTTCTGCCTTAGAGGACTGAGAGAGTAAGCTCTGAATAAGTAATGTGTCATAACTTTGAATATTTAAATGCTGTGCGCCTAGAGCCAGCCCTTGATTCTCTGCCAGCTTCCAATCTAGTGTCTCAGTCAGTGGAAGGGCCGTGGAAGAATGAAAGTGGGGACACACCCTATCTGTCTGGAGACAGGGCCCAATTAGGACAGAGGTGAAAAGAAGCAAATAAAATCACTATTCCAGATGAATTGAAAAAAGGCTTGATTAAGGCTTGCCGTTAAGATGCTGTTGCTCCTGGTAAGTAGTAAAATTTCAACAAAAAACATTTGGCACCCGGACTTAGTTGAAAAGGGCCGAGAACGAGGGGATGTAACGGAGGCAAGTCGGAGCCGCTGCCGTCGCCATGACCCGCGGTAACCAGTGTGAGCTCACCCGCCAGAAGAATATGAAAAAGCAGAGCGACTCGGTTAAGGGAAAGCGCCGAGATGACGGGCTTTCTGCTGCCGCCCGCAAGCAGAGGGACTCGGAGATCATGCAGCAGAAGCAGAAAAAGGCAAACGAGAAGAAGGAGGAACCCAAGTAGCTTTGTGGCTTCGTGTCCAACCCTCTTGCCCTTCGCCTGTGTGCCTGGAGCCAGTCCCACCACGCTCGCGTTTCCTCCTGTAGTGCTCACAGGTCCCAGCACCGATGGCATTCCCTTTGCCCTGAGTCTGCAGCGGGTCCCTTTTGTGCTTCCTTCCCCTCAGGTAGCCTCTCTCCCCCTGGGCCACTCCCGGGGGTGAGGGGGTTACCCCTTCCCAGTGTTTTTTATTCCTGTGGGGCTCACCCCAAAGTATTAAAAGTAGCTTTGTAAAAAAAAAAAAAAAAAAAAAAGAAAAGGGCCTTGGAGATAGGATCAAAGTAATAATAGTCCTGTGGACACCTGTCGCCAGGAGGAAGCTAAACCCAGCAAATGATGATGCCTAGTGCCTCTTCGTGGTTAAAGAATTTAGAGTTTCATTCGTATTTAAAACTTGTTCTTGTCTTACTGTTTTTCCACCAGTGTCAGTTCCCAATCCCTGGAGAAGATCTAAGTCAGCTTCTAGGAGATGTACAGAAGGATCCGGAGGGACTCAGAAGAGCCCATGCCACCAGCACACTAACTCACTCCCACCACCCAGTCCAACTTGGAGCTGGCAGCTCTGAAGGCTACCAAAGAGGACTTGTGGAGAGGGAAGGGCTCAGGGGTTTTGTCTTCCGTTGGTGGCAGCTGGAAGACCAAGAATTGAGAGTGGCATCACAAGATGGAAGGAGCTGCATCCCTGAGTTACTGCACGGAGAGCTTCCAAGGAAAGCAGCTCAGCCCTCATCAGATTTTGCACAAGAAAAAAAAAAAAAAAACTTTCACTGTGTTCAGCCACTGAGATTTGGAGACTGTACATTACTGCCACATAGCCTACCATTATCCTCAGGTAAGCCTAGGAGATTGGGGTAGGATGGTTTTGGAGCAGGTATTATTACTCAGCCTAAGGTAAAGTATCTGTGTTGTAGCGTGATTTTAATGGGGAAGAAGGCATTATATTAAATGCAAATGCAGGCCGGGTGCAGTGGCTCATGCCTGTAATCCCAACACTTTGGGAGGCCAAAGTGGGTGGATCATCTGAGGTCAGGAGTTCAAGACCAGCCTGGCCAACATGGTAAAACCCCATCTCTACTAAAAATACAAAAATCAGCCCAGTGTGGTGGCATGCACCTGTAATCCCAGCTACTCAGGAGGCTGAGGTGGAGGTTGCAGGGAGCCGAGATTGGGCCGCTGCACTCCAGCTTGGGCAACAGAGTAAGACTCTGTCTCAAAAAAAAAAAAAAAAAAAAAAAGCAAATGCAGACTATAAAAGTAGTTTGTATTCATATTGCAGCTCTACCCCTTGCCGTTTGTATAATATTGGGTAAGTTATTCTCTCTAGGCCTCAGTGTCTGCATCTTTAAAATCTGGCTTATACCAACCTTAGAGAACTCACCAGATTGTTATGAGATTTAAATGAGATAATCTATAGAAAATATTTAGTAAGGGCTTGACACTTAGTAAAAACTTAAATCTTAGTTGTTCCCTATCTCATGACTAGTTTTGGACCTTACAACACAAACCCTCACTAAAGTTAAATATGGAGACAAGGAAAGCAAGAGTTGGAAGTTACCACTCACTGCAGTCACTTGCATAATCTTGACATTTAAAGGAACTCCTGAAAGACTAAAAAGGAAAGAAACCAACCTAGTAGAGGTTGTGTTGCATGGGCTGAAGAATGCAATCCCCTCATACAACCACCACCCCCAACATGCACACAAACACCCCATGGCAGAGACCTGCTCAATAATCCTATTTCTTCTGATTCCTGGGCATACAGCTATACTAGTTCTCAGCCTCCTGGCTCAGTTCTGTTCCGTCTAATCACATGTGGGAGCAGGCATGGCAAAGGCCTATCCTCCTATGCATGACCCTCTAGGCAGCATGACCTTAGGAGCCATGTGTGGAAGATGGAAAGCCTGGAAGATGGAAGGCACCTAGGTCCCTGAGTCACTGCTTGAAGGAGAAGTTCCACAAATGAAGAGACCCAGTTGGACTTGAGGAGCAGGAAATAAACTTCCATCAAATTATACACTTTGTTATTATAGACTCTGTTGCAGCAGTTAGAGACACCTGTTTTCTAATAATATGTCAAATCTTTTCTAGTTCAGGTGTTTATGTTGAAAAAAAAATGCTTACCTTTAAAATAGGATTTTAGTCTAATTATGTGAAAATAAGTTATAGTTATTTATAGAAAAACAACAGGGACAAATTTTGAATTCATTTCTCCCCAGGCACCTCAGTTACTACAAGCAAGGGGAAAGTTTAAGTTGCCCTGCCTGCTGCCTCCCTGATAATCTGGATCCATCACTCCCTGAGGACATTTTCTGAATTCTATTAATGTGAGCAAGTGGTGCTGTGCATGGCAGGCAGGATAATCAAAGGGTTGTGATCATTTTATCTTTACAACCTTGTGACAGTTCACTCACTTCTTCACAGGTCAGGAAAGGAGAGAATGTATGCTTATCATTAATCAAATTAAACGCCTAAGCCTGGTCACCCTTCCTAACCATGCCTTCCTTAATTCTTTCTTTGAGCTAAATTTTCCTGCTACTCCATTCTCCCACCCTTAAGTACCCAACAGAAGGGCAAATGGTCACTTACCCAATGCATGGATTGGTCTGGTACCTCGGTGCCGTGTAGGAGAAAGGAGAGATGTCCTTATCGACAAAAGACCCAAATCCCAACCGGAAGTTGCTGGTGAGCTTCCTCATCTCCTCCGCGAGTTTGGTGCCCAGGTTCCGGATAGTGTCCAAGTCATCCTTCATGGACAGGGAGAGGTCCATCAGGTAGTACAGGTCCACAGGATAGTCCTCTACCTGGCGAACCTGTAGCTGGAAGGTGGTCTTGTCACCTGCACCAACAGAGAGGCCACCCGTGTTAGAGGTCGTGCAACCTGCTAAGGGCTGAGGGATGGGATTTGCTTTCAAAGCTAGTTCACCTCTTACTTTTCTTTAGTGATTACGTGCCTCCCAGAAGATTTTTCTTGGAAGTAAAGTGCCTGAAGGGAATACGGTGCTGAGAATGGAGGCCTGGTTTCTCCTTCCCAAACACTCGGCTTAGCATTTCTTTTTTTATTTTATTTTATTTTTTTGAGACAGAGTGTTGCTCTGTCACCCAGGCTGGAGTGCTGTGGTGCAATCTCGGCTCATGCAACCTCCGCCTCCCAGGTTCGAGTGATTCTCATGCCTCAGCCTCCTGAATAGCTGGGATTACAGGTACCCACCACCATGCCTGGCTAATTTTTGCATTTTAAGTAAAGACGGGGTTTCACCCTGTTGACCAGGCTGGTATCAAACTCCTGGCCTCAAGTGATCCACCTACCTCAGCCTCCCAAAATGTTGGGATTACAGGCGTCAGCCACCACGCTTGGCCCGGGCTTAGCATTTCTAAGGAAATTCCTTAACAACCAGGCTCCTTGGTAGTGTTCTGCCTTCTCAGCAACAAGGACCCTTGGGTAATCAGTGGACTGTGAACCAGACAATTTCATGAACACAAACTAGGTGGAGAATAGCCCACCAACCACACACCAACTCCAGAGAAAGACCCAGCCACGATGGAAATGTGTGTTTGAAACAAAAGGCAGGGAAGAAATGAACAAAAGAGCCTGAGTGGGGAAGAACCAAGCTGGGGAGAGAGATGTGCAAGGCAAGGGAGGACAGAGAAACAAAGACGTTTGTTTAAAATACCCCAATGGGCAAAAATATGCATGCCTATGCCACGTCACCTGTTTTTGTTTCTATTTCCCTCACCATTTACCAGACTAGTATTTACTTTGGGGGGCATATTTGATGTTTCAGGATATCACAGGTACAACTCATTATCATCAGAAACTACGTATATAAATACAGGAAGACAGATTCCAAATTTTAGCTCGATCGAAAAAAGAAAACGAGAAGAAAGAGAAAAGACAGCACTAGATATGTCTACCAGCTACAATAAGGTAGCCGACAGGCAGAGAAAAGGGGAATTAATTCAGAGGAAAAGAACAAAGGAAAAAGCCAGTGTCTGGCAGGTGTGGTCTCTGCTGTCTCACTCTATAGCGTTCAAAGTGAGGCTCAAGTCAGGGCAATAACTAGAAGACCCAGGCCAGGATAATGATCTTGAAATCATTTCATAATTTCTAAAAACAAATCACTTAGAACCAACTTTAAGGCTCAGTTCAACTCATATCTGCCTTGGGCTCATTAACCTTTCAGGAGTGCCAAAAGATGTCCTATTTATCCTGCAGTAGAACTGTCTATACATACTTGAAATTTGGATAGATTCTTTGTGTGTTTAGAGGCACAACAGCAAAGATGGCCTCACTCCTGCCCAGCGAGTCTACACCTGACTTGCCGGCAGCCACATCTCAGAGCAACCAGTCTTTCATCTCAAGCTGACAACCAGCAAACTGAAGCCTTCTTTAACTTGCAGGGCACTCAATCCTCTATGCTCCATCTCCTCCTCCCACCGCGACAACAAAGCATATTTCACTAACTAGACCATAAAGAATAAAATAATCAAAAGATTTTAGTTCAAGTTCCAGCCCTGTCCCTTGAGCAGGAGTGCAACCTGGGCCTGAAATATAAAATGGAATATATTTCATGTTTCTTGAAATATACAATGGAAATAAGAACAACGCTCACAGCATCAGTTAAGCCTATTTATTATGCGCTCATGAGGGAGAGCAGTGTTTTATGAGTAGTACAGGCTTGCACAGATGAAGTATGATTATGATCATTACTGCCTGTAGTCAGAGTGGCAGCTCTGAACCTGCTTCCCCTGACTTGTCTTTGCGTGTACAGTTCTAGGCGCCTCAGGATTGATGGAGGTTTGAGTTGCCTATTGGTATAAGCCTATTTTTTAAAACCATCAGTCTGACTCAAACAGAGGAATGTTCAAAGTTTTCTTCCAGAATGAATTCCAGGCTGCTGCAGTGTCTGCCTTTGGTCAGACGGACACAGCCAGTCCCGCCAGAGGGCTCCTTGGGTACCACATCATAGTGAGGGAAGGGCAGAGAGGAGGGGGGAGTTGGGGGCAAGGGAGCTCCCTCCTTGGCCCTTGCATGGGCAGGCAACAGACCAAAAATGGACAGAGCCTGCAATCCTATTTCCTTTGCCTGATGCCATGATCTTTTCATAGGTCTTCTGCATTTTCTGCCACCTGTCCCCCCAAGTTACCACCTACAACTTATTTATCCAAAATCTACTTCTACTTTTTTACGAATTATAAGAAATTAACAGATGGGCACTTTAAAACCAGGAAACAAATAATTGCCTTGGATTCTGGG